ACCGGAAAAACCACTGGCCTTCATCTTCCGATAAAACCCTTCTGCTCTAACATGATCATCGATTTTGTCACATACACCGGCTATCGGTAGAACTTGTGCAGCTCTCGATAACAAAACCACTTGGCCAAGGAACAATTCCAAAGTTGTAGACTTTTCCACGCAGTAAGCTTCAGCTCTAAAATCAGTAGTTCCTGTGATGATTGCAACGTTTCTACCACACCCATTCGTTATGCTCTCTGCGTTGAAGTAGGACTGTAGTGTKTCAATTATTGGAGCGAATCTAATTGCCCCAACGGGTAGATTGTTTTTTTCTTCTGCGCTTTTGACYAAGCCGTCATATTCATTTAGACAATAGCGATCTTGTAGTTTAGGCAGAATAAAGCCGTATACTTCTGGTATTGTCAAATTTTTCACCTGTTTGAGTAGGTCATTGCTGTTTTCAAGATCGCACAGTCGTATGAACACCTTACGTCCTTTGAACAACCCTTGTCGCAGCGCCCTTAAGTATGACTGCAACATTTTGGATTTCATTTCTTGGACAGTGGAATCTTCCAGATCAAGGAYAATGATATCTGCGTTTGATTTGATGGCCTTGACAAAGTGCTGCATAGTTTGACCAGAAACCAGCCAAGAGCGGGCTGGAAACAAACTTGAAACCTGACTACCTCTCTCAGATCTGATGGTTCTAAGGCACAGCTTTGTCATTATTGGTCTTCTTAGAAGCATCCAAGGTTGTACCCTCAGGTTAGACATCTTAAGATTTAGACTTTATTCCTGATAAAAATTAAGTACTGATCAATCAAAATTATAATTTTCATATAAACAGTAACAGCTTTGACTTGATGTCGGGTTCCCTGTGGAAAAAATGTCCCCCTCAGGCTGTGTTGGATACATCGCGAGGCGAATCCTGGGTTTCAATTTTGACCAATTATGTTGTGCCATTTCGAATTTGGCGGGAATCTCAAATGCGGAGATGGCGACGGCCGGGACTTGAATAATATGTGTGTCCAAAAATGCGTTTTTAGATGAATTTTGAAGTTTTGTTTGACAAAGAACGACAAGAAATCGGTAGTAAATTTCATACTTTTGTGGATGTTGTAATATTTTTCGCATATGTTTTTGCATCATAACGAAAAATCTTTTAAAATTTTGTCTTTTTTACCAACGACAAGTCGACAATTTTGACATTGCCAGACGTTTTTCATAGTTGTGATTGAAATATTTCATCAATTAAATTGATATTAACACTGTAAAACGAGAAATAAATTCTTAATGTCCTGAATGCATGCCGCATGGAATATATCATTATATTATCGGAGATTTCGTAACGCAGGCTAAATGAGCGATGGAGCAGGCTGAGGATTAATCCGTATAGAATGAACGGTTTGCATATAGGTCACAAAGTTGGCTATTCCTATTTATTCGGTGCTATTTCACTAAAGTTTGATTTAAAATAATCATAACTCTAAAATAATATTTCAAAGTCCACTACAACGGAGATCCACTGATGATTTTTGAAAGGGGGATCGGGGTTTCAAAGTCACGGGGATGAACTCCTTTATAAAAGTTGGTAGGTATGCTCGTAGGCCGAAAGAATGACCCTAAAAGGTAGGCATGAATCAGTTCAAGCATGGATTCCAGACCCTAAAAGATACGACCATTTTTGACGTCTTTAACAAGAGAAAAGCTCAAGCTTAACAAACTGTAGAAAATCAATGTCGAAAGATTGTTGAGGTTAATGAAATCTATTTTTTTATAACACTTCGTCAATTTTTTTTTGATCGAAAATTGACTTTAAAAGGTGCGCGTATTTTCGACGCTAAAACCTCCGTCGAGCATACCTACCAACGTTTATAAGGGAGCCTCCCCCTCCCCCCCCCGGGTTCGAAGTCTTTTCGATGACCTTACATGTAATATAATCAGACGAGCAATGACAATTTCATTTGGGTTGCTCGCTCAAATATAAAACTTAAAAGTGTTAATAGATTATACTAAAAAGGTTCATGCAGAGCATTTTTCGCGTATTACTCAATTACTATTATCAAAACTCGACTTACCAGGCGCCCTTAATTATTGCGCATTTAATTGCAGACAGCACGAAGAACTTCTGGGCTGTAAGATGTGATCACGGCAACTGTGGAACTGTACAGGCTGCCCTTTGTAATGTGCACGAGTAGACGAAAGCTAGTCTAAATGTAAAACCCCACAAAAACTCAATCGTTTGCACGCAAATGCTTTCTAAGCATGCGTTAAGAAACATCAAGAGCGTGACTGATGAGATCTCCGAGACTTTGTCACCTGACACCGACCTATTTTATGCATAGCATGTCAATCTTGAAAGCAGGCTTTTGAACTTGGCCTCGATTGACAAATTCGACTGTCATCAGTCGGCTTGCCACCGGTGTATTTCAGGAGCCGACGGGGTCTGTTCTTCTAAATAACTGTTCTTGTACGAATTTTTTCCTGGGAACACTGGAAAAAATCGCGCGCTTTAAAGGTTGTAAATTTGATGTAAATATGATATGTGTCCAAAATTCTGTAAATTTCTGTAAGGGATTGTGAGTTACATTGTTGACAATCTCGCAAGCAAATGTGGCTTTAAAATAATTTTGCTCGTGGTAAACGTTTTCATGGTCAAAAACGGATTATAGTAAGTAAGTAACAACTTTATTTATAGAGAATAAAACACTTAATAGTACAAAGTACTAATAAACTAGTGGTCCTCTAGTTAAAATATATCTAAATAAATCTATTTACATCTAAATACATATTAAAAGCTTATGAAACATTAAAAACACACATATATAAGAACTATGAGAAATAATGTAATTATATTTTTTTAGTTAGGATACTTTTGTTTTCTTGGCAAAAATTCTTAGAAAGTATTCCTTGCCTGGAGAGTTCTTTTTTCCTGAATTTCTCGCTGACAACCAGTTGTGACTTACAGCTGGCTGGGACATAAGAACATATTTCTCCCAGGAACCCGTCGGCTCCCCCTAGTATTTAGGACCTCACATTTTTTTCACAAATGCCTGCAGCTGATTCATATATGGTCTCGCAGATCTAGACATCCTAGACGCTCATTTCTGGTTTGTATATTTCGCTTTGATGTGAAGGATTGCTACATTTCAAGATGGCGGTGGGAAAGTATTCACAATTAACTAAAATTGAAAGCTCTGCCAAACATCTTACTTCGATGCAAAGGCATGGCTGCCTTACAACGGCTACACTAAGATGGCGCAGGAAAGTGTGAAGACCTTTCCACTAGGTTTATTTTCGGTCTAACATGGGCACCAAAGGTTAGAATTCGCCCCTTCTGATAGTTTATGTTTGAGGCAGTAATTGACCGAAACTAAAGGCCTGGCCTCAAAATTAACAGCACTTAGCCCCGTTGAGGACTAGGGAAGTGTATAGATGAATTTTAAGGTGTTTTACAACTTTTATTAACATATTTGTTAACTATATATTATCAATGTTTCTATACGCAATCCTCAGGGTTAACATCCGGGGGGTGGGAGACTCCTGGGCAAAAGTACCGGGGATACTCGTCGGATCTCTTAGCGGTAAAAATGCGTGATTGGGAATCTTCAAGGGAAGTAATTTAGAGTTTCTGGAAATGTGCATTTTCTGGAATCTCTTGGGGTGTCGGAAAAGAAGAGAAAGGGCGCATCGATATTGATTTTCCTCTGCGTTTTTATCATTGCAACTGACTTTAATTTAACAATATTTCAGTTGTGCAATCTCTTAGGGGTTAAAAATCAGTCAGCCACGCCCTTTTTTCAAGACTTCCGGAATCTTTTAGGGGTCTTTTTGAAAATTTCTGGCAAGCATCCCCGGCACTTTTACCCCCGGAGTTCCCCCCCCCGGAATAACGGAATAACAATAACTATGCAACTATTCTGGGTTAACACGGAATAACTGTTTGCCAATCGATCAGCCGTACAGAAGTCTATTTCAATACATAGACGATCACTTATAAGACTTTGAAAGCAATGTTACCATCATTAGGGAATTTATCCAAACATGCGTGAAAGGTTGGGTCATTGCACTTAGCATACGACCCCGGAACATATCTTTGAAAGCTGTTTGATCTCGCAGGGCCACTCCATTTGGTGCTGTGTTTCAAAATGTCTGGCCCATAACGATTCCGCGAATACAAAGCCGGACTATGAGCACAAAATATCCAGCGACTGTTCACACGACACTTAGTATAATGCGACGTTTTGCTAAGCTCTGGAGGAGAAAACAGGTCAGATGACAACACACTGTGGCCCCATAGTTCTATATCGATGTCGGGAGTGAAAAATTCTAAACTTCCATCTAACTTTAACGGAGTACGATCTTTGTGGACACCAGCCGGTTTGTATCCGCTAAGTTTAAAACCATTTTGTGATATAAGACTAGATTGAGAGTTTACAAAAGATAAGTTGTTTGGAGATATAAACAAGTCTGCGTCGTTGTCAAATGGGTTGTAGTTGTTGAATTTCACACATGCCAGATTTGAACCAGAATCAAGTTCATAATGAAGGTTATTTTTTACGGATAAATCGTGGAAAAATTTCATGGCATTTCCAAATTGCTCCAAACAGCACATAGGAAGAGCTTTGTATCTAGTTATTTCCTTGGCATCACACTTGTACGAAATTTCTCCACAAGAAAACTTATGTCTGACCCCGTAATCACTCATAACCACCCGTACTAACTTTAAGTCTGTTGCAAGAGGCCGCCATATTGCCTTTCGGTTTTGCTTACTTTCTGTAGAGTAGTCTGTTGTGAAATACATTGCATCAGGGCAGTTCATTATCAAGTTTCCAGATCGAAAAACCCGAATAAAGAATTCTTCAAACAAGATTTCTTTGCTATACTTTTCGCTGAATTTGAGGCTTTTCAGAAGATCAGTTCGGGCAACAAATGGCCCTTCCAAATCATCACAAAACATGCATGAGTGCCTTGAGTAGTGGTAACCTTCTTCATACTGTAATACATAGTTAAATAGTTTAGTTTGTCGACATCCAACTCGCCAATGTCCAGTAAGATTACGGAATGATCCTCCAACTATTGCAACATGGTCTGTTGTACTTATCATGCGAATTTGTCGTTCAACTCGTGTAACCCAAGTAAAATGAACAACATCGCGTGCAACAAGTGTGTATGGAGTTGAGACCTCATTGATAAGTTGGTTCCACACTTTACCAAGAGAGCTGTCTTTACTGACAGCAACAGTTTTGACATTTGGGTACTTTTTCGAAGCTTCTTCCATTTGGTTTGTCTTGGCTGCTAAGAACACTTTGACTTGTGGATAGGTTTGGTTGATGCCTTTTAACACTGTTTCAACCTGTTTTTCCATTGATTGAGGATACGCCATTGTATTAAGAACAATGCTAACGACCTGAAAAGTGAGAGGAAGAAAAGTCCTGTTAGTTTTCATCTTTTGAACCAAGGTTCCCCTCTGTGAATGACTACCAACTTTTCATAATTTGAAATGTTTTAGTAAGTTTAAAAAGAGACCAACCTGGGGCAATGGTTTTACATTTTTGCAATCTTGCATTTCCCATCCCTTATGATAGCGGGTTGGAATGCCAAAGTATTCACCCATATACTTCTCTGGGCACACATCCTGCATTACAGATGAGTTTTTTGGTTCTGCTGGCTCTCTTTCTTCATAGCTGAGCTTATGTGCTGGATCAAGTTCTCCAATTATGCCTTTGAGTTCCACAAGCGTCTTTGGTGTGGGTGGTTTGCTATGGCTGACATCGTTCTTTAACTGGAGGTAAATCTCAGCCAATCTTTTGGCAATCTCTCTCTTTGTTTCAATATAAGGGACTGGGGATGGAGCTTCTGTAGGGCAAGGCGCTGGTGAAGGGCAAGGGACTGGTGAAGGGCAAGGGACTGGTGAAGTGGAAGGGACTGGGGAAGTGGAAGGGACTGGGGAAGTGGAAGGGATGGAAGGACAAGGAACTGGTGAAGGAACTTGGGAACGAACTACCGCAGGGCAAGGTACTGATTTATCACTTGATAAATTTGATGAACTTGATCTAAATATTACGTATTCGTGAACTTTAAATTTCAGGCTCAATGCGAGAATGCTGACACCAACAGCAATTGACAGAATCACAAGTGTGGTTTTGTAGCTCATTGTGTACCATTTGTAGCGTTACCTGAAATATCAACTGCAAAAAAGCATAAATTTAATTTGATTTTTCAACACAGAAAATGTCGTGCTTGTATATCCAAGCTTTTTTATTTGTGAATTATAAAATTTTTGATATATAACGCGCGCTCTGATTGGCTGACGACCGTGTTTATATCAGAGGACAGAGACACGGCTTACCGGCAAAATTTTCTTTTCGCTCGAAAGAAAAAGAAATATAAAAGAAATATAAAACGGCCGCTTGTGTCTCTGTCCTCTGATATAAACACGGTGGGAGTTCAAAAACACTCGAGAAGCGAGAGAAACACTCGCTACGCTCGTGTTCCTAAGCTTGCTTCTCTCGTGTTTTTCGAACTCCCACCGTGTTTATATCAGAGGACAGAGACACGCGCGCCGTTTTATATTTCGTAAATATTGGTTTGAAAAACCAGTTGTAATACTCTAATTCAAGAAGGCTTTCAGCTATGTTCAGCTGCTACGTGTATGCAACGGTTCAGCGATTGTATAATTATTTCTGTACTAAACGAATATTGTTTTGGTAAATGATACAGCGGCATGTTTTAAACGTTGTGGACCTAATTCAAGAAACGTTAATAAATTATGAAACAAAGCATTCAATTCGTTTACAAGTTTTCTTTCGAGCTTTAAAAATATGCTTTGACGTGAAATTTTGCTGGCTTTGTTGTTTCATAATGAATACATTGAATACATTATCATGCGTCCAGGAAGACCAGCAAAACAGTACTAACGTTGAAAATCCAGCTTAAAGCTTGCAGCACACAACATCTTGACCAAATTATAGATTTGGCAACACAACTTAAGCTTGTCTTAAGCCATTTATATGTACTAATATTGAATATGAAAGCTAAAGTATTTTTTTTGTAGTACCTCTTTATTTAACGCGAAGCAAACTACAGTATGAAAAGCAACGATCGGCCAGTCTTTTTTCATTTTACAATCATACTGCATCGTGAATATATGACTTTACATGAATGTCTTACCTTTTTTAACTACTAGAAGTTGCTTTCAATGAAGCCTCCATAGATCGTCCATCACAACAACGGCTACCTGGAATAGTCGGTATAAACAGACATGGTGCTTAGTAACCGCGCTTGGTTCCATTCACACCACAGGAAGCCCAATTGCTCAGACGCTTAGGAGGTCTAGATATCATTGAGTAAACTCTAATGTTTTCAGTGTTAGAATAGACCTCTGCAGCTTTTACGTCATGTACCGTATACGCAATGCATTGTAGGACATGTCTGGGACAAAACATGGCGGATTTCTTTTGTTTTCTCTTGAAACTGATCCCACAATGCATTGAAAATCAAGTAGTGACGTAAAAGGTTCAGAAGTCTATTGGTGAATTATTTTTCTTATGCGATACGTTTTACAACGATCTGCTACACAGTTTATTGTGTCTATTGTTTGAAAAATGAAAGATGTCGGGTACTGAGCACTGTTGCTGTCAAGATTATAAACCCCGGAGGTTGGGGGCGGGGATTATAAACTAACTAACTATTCATCGCATTTTGACGTCATCTGATAGCTCTCGTTTTTTTTCTGTTTGGGCTCCCCGTGGTAAGCGAGTCGGGATAGCAAGACAGGAATCCCAAATCAACTGAAAAGCAAAAGGTTTTCAGCGGAGGAGGCTATTATTCACACTCAACCAACTCAACCTCGTTCCCAGGCCCTACGTTTCTAATTATGGACAAACTTTTATTAAGCGACCCAGTTTTGTAAAGTCTAAAGGGTGACCGTATAATAAAGGCGTGAACAGCTCTCGCCTTAAGTACTCCCTAGTTTTACTCCATGAATGAAATCTCGCTTGTCAATACTGCAGCGCGGATAGTACGTCACAAACTTCCTCCGAAGAAGACGGGACGATTGGACGGAAGACACTAACTGAATTCCATCTTCAAAGAAATCAGTGAAAAAAACTTCCTTTACTGCAGAGACTCGCCGGTTGCAGACACTAAATAACAGTCGCTAAGGCATCCGTTTTAAGTAGAGTTAACTTTATCAGTCATTGTTTTTATCACCAAGAATCACTAGAGTAGTAGACCTATCCACATGATCGGCTTTGTGTATCATGTGATCATTTCTAGCCAATCAGATTTCATTAAACACGTCATGTGGGGCTAAAAAGACGCACCCCAATGCAAGGTAGTTCCAGTCCCGGATGGTTCCATTTATCACTATAGTGATTTCATTTAGTATGTAAAAGCCGGGCTATAATCATGTAGATTTGAAACAATAGATAGTTTAAGCATCACGTTAACGGCCAACCAGAGCTGAACCAATGACTTACGAATTTTGTGCCCGACCTTGTGCTTTTGGTAATCATTTGAAAGAGCGGCTTTTCACGATTATGGCAACCTCAAACTAACCCACTCTCGCGTTGAAACTACAATGTTAAAAAACTCCAAAAAAGCAGATCACGTGATCTTTTCTGCCGTTTGCCGTGAACGTCATGCTAAACCTCTCTAAATAATTTTAGCACTGGACAAGCTTTGAAATTCGGGCAAAGTGGCCATCATCAGAGGAATTCAAAAAGTAAGGCGCGATTTACGCTGTACGATTGTCGCGTACGACTTGTAGTATACGACTCGAATGAGCTCCAAATCGCGCCATCTAAATACCCCCACGACTTGCCTAAAACGGTCGTACACAACCTACGACTCAGACTTGTAGATGATGATTTTGAATCGACTGTCGACTTGTCGTAGGAAAATCGGGAGTAGCCCTCCCCCACCCGTATTTCTTGCATGTGATCTCGATAATACTATTTTTATTTCTTGACAGACAAGGTAAAAGTATAAGAACCGGGCTCCCTGTAGATGCGCTTCAATTGTTTGGGCTCCCTGTGTATGTTAGATCAACCAGGCGTTCCTAACTTGTAGAGACCAGTCTTCTACCAATCAGTTGGCACGTGACTCACGTGCGAATAGAAGAAAACTATGGAAGTGCTGCAAAAATGGCCAAAATTCTGCACTATTTTACTTTATGGAAGCTAAATATTAGCAGAAAACTATATCTAAATGATTGAAGGCTGTTCTCAAGTCGAAAATAGGTAAGAATAATGTGAAAATGTCAAGTTTTGAAGACATTTTGTGTCGAGGGCCATTACTAATTTGCATATTGTTGTGTTTTCTCTCTCATATTTTTGGGGTAATTTTTTTCTCATTACCACAGGATTTCCAGTTTAATTTCATGACTTTAGAGCAGAATCAGTAGTCGAAGTTTGTTCGTTTATATTTCCTAGGAGAGTGA